AATGCAACGTAGTAATAAGATATTTTTTTATAAATTTAATAGATAACTGAATTAACAAAAAAGAACACTAGGCAAAATCGACTTAATTACTATAATGTAGAGGTTTAAAGGTAACGCAAAGTTGTTTATATGTATCTCAGGTAAATAAAATCAATGGCTGGCAACACGAGAGCAATCATGTTATTTTATACACGGTCTCCAACTTGGAACACTCCACCTCTTTCAACTCAAGTTAAGTATAACGAAGTAACTTTTCTTCGTTAGCAACAATTTCAATTTGCAGCATCTTCGAATGAAACCAGTACTACGGTACTCACTCGATCCTTTCATGTAGCCGATGTTCACCACCGTCTCTCTGCATGATCTGAACGCACTCATCCCTTTCCACTATTTCATAAATAAACACGTATTACCACCTCATCACCATATCACGTCTTACAAGTAAAAAATTAACATATAAGGATAAACATGAAGTATGTAGACATAAGACTATACCACTAGTAAACATTATAAACTTAACTGTTGCTACAGGCATCTGCACAGATTATTGTAAGATTCTGAATGTTATAATGCCAATTCTAACAACTACAGGCCTATATAGATGATCGAATTTCGCCAAATAGTCGAAAAAAGTCTTTATAAAACGCTACATTTTTATAAACAAAATAATATTCTCCATAAAAATCAGTGTGGCATCAGGTGCAAATTTTAACTTCCTATGCAATAGCTAGATTAATTGATTTTGTATATAAAAATTTAGGTGGCATCTGTCTAACAGTAGCTATTTTTATAGATCTTAGAAAGGCTTTTGATACGGTCGATTACATCCTCTTGAATAAACTGAACAGATATAAATTAAGGGATGTTCCATTTAAATTAGTGAAAAATTTTCTAAGCAACAAAGGCCAATGGTGGGGTATCTAGTGATACCAATAAAATACGAAGTCCCACAAGGAGCTATTTGTTGGACCACTAGTATTCTTATATATCAATGAACTTTTTGAATTAATATCATATGATAATACAATTGCATTCGCTGATGACACAGGTTTAGTGTATGCGGTAATACGTAGAAACAAGTATTGGTTACACTTAGTAATCAGCAAAATGCAATAGCAAAATAGTGTTGAAAAAACGGTTTGCAAGATATTTAAAATGCAGATAAATAATACCCCACCTGATCTAATAATTAAAGTTGATAATGCAGGCATAATAGAGCACCTAAATATAGTTGAATACTTAGGTATTTATATAGGCAATAATTTAAAACGGAGGAACCAACTAATAATACTGTAATTTATATATAGGTAAATTTTTACTTGCACAAATTAAAAAAAAATACTAAATATTAGTATATTGAAAACGGTCTATTTTTTATAAAGATTATTTTTAGTAATAACTCCAATTGACAGACCTCTATTACATTGTGCAAGTAATAATGCTACATTTTGAAAAATTAAGGGACAAATATGTTAGATCGCAAAGCGCCACTAAATATGAAAATATAATCACAACTAGAAACACGAAGGAAAAGAATTGACTTCAAAGCTATAGTTATTTCAATTTACTCCCAAAAGATCTAAATATAAGCAATATAACGACAGCAAGTAAAAGAAAAATTCTATGCAAAAGTATATGCAAATAGATAATAGTCTTAGTTTTATATCGTATAAGAAAAAGATCTCTATAAATCTCAATCCTCATTTGTAAATATTATTAATACAAACAAAGTGTAAGTAAATCCTATCAATTGACATTAGTTTATGAGTTCTTTTATGTTTTGTAAGTTGTATAAATTATACTGGATCGACAAAAAGGCAATGCCTCCTAGTTGGATATACCAGATCTAATTTTATCCTTCTCTGCTATATTAAATTTAGTACATGTTATTGTTTCTGGTTTCTAAAAAAAATATCGCGATGTAAGGCAAGAGGATATTCAGTAAGTCCAATACGTTGTTGATTACTTCATTATCTTCCCAGGATCCCTTAAACGGATTGGTTAGATTACAACAGATTGATGCCAGTTGCTTTTCTCCACAGATGAACAATATTTGCAGTTTTCCACGAAAGGCTAAAATGTTATCGTGCTCGATATCGGACTCGTATTCCTGTAGTCATCGTAACCACCGTTAATCTCTCCTTTCGTGTTCTTGAATTGCAGTAACCAGTTTAGCGAGGCGTGGCCCGTTCTTAAAAGTTCTATCCGTACAGGTATTTAAGGATATGTTTGACGATTTTAATCATCAACCGAGCGGCGTGGCCTAGAGGTTTAGACCATTGCTTAGCATTCGGGAGGACGCCGGTTCAATTCCGGTCCGCCTGCTTTGGTCCAAGTTTTTCTGTGNTTGGATCACTTAGGCAAATGCTGAGGCAGTAATATTCCACAGATAATCTTTCATTCTCTTCTGTCTTCATTTCGTCCGTCTCATCTTTCTCACCCGAACCACCACCCACCCATTCCCACGATTCCTGAAAGCAGGCTGAAGAGGGCCTTTGGCCTATCTTCCGGCGTAGTCCGGAGGGACTGCCCGCCTACCAGCATTACTGGCTGGTGGGAATGAAACACCCAAAAGTTTTTGATATTAATCACAGCCAGTAGTTCTCAACGGGTGACAGTAGTTACTTTCCTGCTTGTGGAGTGTTTTACTAAAGTGCCCGATGACCTTTCCTTTCCGTCTTGGACTTAGGATGACATACCATCAAGTCCCATATTACCAACGGCGGCACAACGATGAAGGGCTCGTTGAACTGTGGGTACTTCAAAATTAGAGCTCCAGATAGTGCAATTTTTAAGTTTTCAAATGCAACGTAGGACTATAACTGTAAATTGAAAAACTCAGAAGCTACATCGATGGGGTATACAGTGCCGGTTGTTGTTCAGTTAAAGATCAGCAAAGGGTACTACACATAATGTTTACAGACGTCTATTACGATAAAAATTAAATAACATTTAATCATCGCTAATAGTATGCAGCATTATTTAAATTACATGTCAGCATGTAAGCACACAAAAGAAAGAAAAAGATGTAAGTTACTTACACGTTAGAAGGCAAATGAATATCAATAAGTAAATTTCCACACAATGATTGAGGTATTGACAAGGTGCGTAACTTTTTTCCCTGTAAACACACACATAAGCTACTCAAACAACGTTTTCCTTTCTAGGAACAAAATTCCTTTACTCGGCCTATTCTCAATTTCAAAGGACGTAGTGTACCTTCCTGTAGAATACCAACTAACCCCTCTGAAGTTGTGGTCCATTAACCATGTGCCACGTGTTCCTATTTTGTAGATTACCCAAAAAATTCATTGGACTAGCGTGCTCAAAAATATTTCTTTAGCTGGCAAATGCTGGAGCCTCGATGTTTTCTCCTCTTCCAAGTTTACTTCAAAGGGATCGAAGCGAGGGTGACTAGGAGGTAGGTAGGAAAGGCCGTTAGCAAAACACTTAACTCTTCATAAGTTAACGACGCGTTTCCGACTATTCGTCTTATCTGATGTTTCACCGGTTTTACTGTGAACTTCCACAAACGGTCGAAATGTGGGAC